GTAAAAATTCAGTTTTTTCTGCAAAAATTTACTTGCGGTCGAAAAATAGTACATATAATTCTACTGGTCTGTCTAGTGGCCGAGAGAATTTCGTGTTCCCTCTCAAATTTCGCGATCGGTGTTCGATCCAACGTAAAAGCTAAGAATTCTAATATTGATTTTCAAGGTAGGGGAGTCTTTCTTGCATAGAGGTTTGGCTCAACATAATCTCCATTATCTTCCTACACCATGCAACCCTGTTTCAGACTAAATTAAACTTAGTAAATATCTCTTCTCTCTAAAATTGATTGATAAGTTAGATCTGCTACCGCGTGGCGTCGCTAAAAGTGGAGGAGAAACGTTTTTCAGCATTTATTCCACAGTATATAAAGTCATGTTAAGTGTTGCGCTCGATCAGTTACGGCTGATTAGTGAGTTCGATTCTCGTGGATGCTCCATATTTTCGGCCTTGTGCCACATCTAAGCTAGCCTTAGTAAATAGCTAGAAAGTCATTTTCAAACGTGTTTAGTGTCAGTTCAATGTGTGACGACGTGATATCGTTTGTTAGACATGATTACTACGTCCGAGTTATATATAAATCATATATATGAGGGAATCATTCGCAAATAATTTATGCCAAAGGAGATTAATTCGATGAATTCGATTGAGTGATTGATTTCTGTAAGGCACATCAACATATTATGGATCATTTAATGCCGAAGTTTCATTTTCTTGGGAGCTTTGAGGTAATAAAAATATGATGTATATTATTCTGCTTTCACAATTGAATACATGGTAGATGATACTCAGCTTTTGTGCATATACACTACAGTTCAAAAGTTTGAGGAAACCTCCTTGTAATTTTTAAATTGGTCTAAAAAGTAGTTGTTTTCTACTTTAAACAGGAGAAATTTATTATACATGGTTAAAAAAAGTGAGGAATGATTTTTTATTTTATTATGACAAAAAGAAAAAATATAATTAAATTTTGCTCTCGGCAAAATATCCTCCTTTAGCCTTGATTACTGCAGCACAAACTTTAGGTATTCGTTGGAAAAGTTTCTCAATGTATAAGTTTGATAATTGATTCCATTCTTTTTTCAATGACTCTAAGAGCTCTTTTTAATTTTTTTTCACTCTTCTGTCAAGTTCATTCAATGATAATTCTGGGGGTGGCTTCAAACTTTTGAACTGTAGGGTACATGTTTATGTGGACATAACTACTAGAGGCTGTGATATGTATGTTTTATGTTGTAGTTTTGTTGAACTTATATTTTGGAATACAGTTTGATTCCTTCAAGAAATCGTAGAATTTTATATCGATTAATGTCATGAAAGAGTTTTTTTCATGGAGCTGTTTGGCTGATTTTATTAAGCGGCATATCATCCTCTAAGGGTTATTTAATGACGAAATCTAAATATTTTGAACACAATTTTATCGCATCAACTAAATATATTTTGAATGCAATTGTAAGTTTTCAACTATAGATAAAATGTATTGTTGGTCATTTTGCTATTGTTGGTAATTCTACGAAAAAATGTATTGTTGGTAATTCTACGAAAAAATGTGTTGTTAGTCATTTTGTTTTAAATTGTGTTGCTAGTAATGGTAGTGGCGTATTGGATATTAGCTAAGAGTGAGTACTCAGAGACCCGAGTTCGAATTCCAGTCACAAATTCACTTACGCACACATACCCTTAGGAAAGGTATTAATCCATAAAGTCTCCCTCAGCTATGGGCTGAAGGGCAGGACAGACTGGGTTCTTTAGCCTTGATTGGCAACCAGTCTACTGCAGAAAGAAATGGCAACCTACTGCAGGAAAAAAATCTGCCTTGTCAGTGTATCACGTATGGCACTTGACTGACTGTCGGTAATTTTACTATAAATAGATATTGTTGGTAATTTTTTTTATATAAAAATGTATTGCTGATATTTTTACTATAATGTTTTGTTTTTGGGTTCATTATTTACGCATAGCAAGGAAACTAACGGGTGCTACCACCCCAGGTCAGTGTAGGCATAGGAACAACAGCAATTAATAGGTGTTTCCATACTCCTCAAAACCTCCAGTCTCCCGATCAGAGGATGTAGTTTATCGGATTAATTCGATAATGTATTGTGAAAACTTTCGAGCACTCTAACAATGCATTCGCTGAATATACAGTGTAACCCGGATGTAAGAGAGTTGTTGGGACCGGAGAAGAAGTCTCTTATATCCGGGTTTCTCTTATATCCGGGTTTGGTCTATTTTATATACATTAACACAGGCTCTAATTTGGGACCAGAGAAAATCTCTCTTATATCCAGGTTTCTCTTATATCCGGGTCTCTTATATCCGGGTTACACTGTAGTCTGAAAAAAGGACATTTTTGTTTTTAAACAATGCTAGGTTACATTGCAATCAACAAAAGACGCGAACGGGGAAAAGATTAGAATTCGCTGTTATTGCACACTCTTCGGGTCTATCTTGTATATAACCTGTTTTATAAGATTGGGGACATTATTTATCAATTAACACTAGCAATTTTGAAGAGAAATAGATTTATTTCATTTTGATACAAGTTTCAACATTCTATCGGGTATAAAAAATTGTTTATTGGATTGGTGATCTTAATTATCAGTTCGCCATTGTAATTTTTAAGAGAAATAAATTTACTTTATTTTGATACTAGTTTCATTAATCTATTTGATGTAAACATTGTTTTGTAAGATTGGAGATCCTATTTATCAATCAACCCTCGTACGTACGTACGTACGTACTCGCACATACGCACCCACGCGCACCTACGCACATTTGTATGTAAATATATTGCAGTTGCTTGTGGCAGAGTACACAAATTTAGAAAAATATTGACACAAGTAGATGAAGAAAAGTGCATGTATTTCTTATATTGAATAATCTTATTACAATGAAATTTGGTTAATTCGTCAAAACAACTTGAACTAGTTATCAACCTTCTCGAGAACTCTGTACGGAGATTTTGAGGATGTTATTTCATTTTGCCTGCAAGACCTGGGGAAGAATTTATGAAAATATGAGAGCAAAAAAAAAAAAAAAAAAATTCGCCAAAGTAAATTATGAGTGGGAAAAAAAAGCTTGAGTCTTTCGCCTCATCCAGGATGTCCGTCCCCTTTTCTCTGACTAGCGATTCTAGGAATGAAGACTTTGGCTGAAATGAATTTCCATTTGGCGAAAATGAAAATGAAGAATTTAAAAAGAAACTCAAACAAATTAATTCAACAATTCTGATCCAGAAACCAATAATGATGAAAACCAAAGACGCGTACACACACACACACACACACACACACACACACACATATATATATATATACATAAAGACAGATATAGAGACATGATTCGCGAGTGGTCGTTTTTGACGTCTTTCAAATTAATTCAACTGAGAAATATGAAATACAGAACGAAAAGGAAAGAAATAAATTGTGCAGAAGACTGACCGTATCAAATTTGGCATCAGAATTCGAAGGTCACATTCGGAAGTTATAAATCATTAATAGAGACACCTTGAGATTGACAATGGATACGAATTAGGTTTCAGTTTTTAGGTATTGTTGATGACGAATATTTGGTGAATGTTGTTAAGGCGAAGGCAAATTCCAAAGTAAAAATGGGTTTTTCTAGCATGCGAAAGGAAAAAAAATAAATAGAAACCAAGAAAGCAAACGGGAAAAAAAGTTAAAAAAATTAATGAGAAAATAAAAAGAAAGGAAAAAGAAATCATAAAAAAAGATAAAAAGAAAGAAAACAAATGAGGAAACACGAAGAAAAAGAAAGAATATAGATTGATTGATTCATTAGCTACGATTTATCAACACTTTGTACGTTATTTAAAGCCAGAAAATATTTTTTAGATTGTAAGAATATATTTTGGCGATAATGGTTTAAAAGTTTTACTAATTTCTTCTTTTAATTTCTTCTGCTTAATCAGTAGATTGATTGATTCGTTTTTTACGGCTTATCAACCCTTTGTACGTTATTTAAAGCCAGAAAATATTTTTAGATTGTAAGAATATATTTTGGCGATAATAATGGTTTACAAGTCTTACTAATTGCTTCTTTTAATTTCTTCTGCTTAATCAATAGATTGATTGATTCATTCATTTTCTACGGTTTATCAACCCTTTGCAGGTTATTTAAAGACAGAAAATATTTTTTAGATTGTAAGAATATATTTTGGTGATAATAATGGTTTACAAGTCTTAATAATTTCTTCTTTTAATTTCTTCTGCTTAATCAGTAGATTGATTTATTGATTCGTTTTTTGCGGTTTATCAACCCTTTGCAGGTTATTTGAAACCAGAAAATATTTTTTGAGATATTAAGACTTTTTTTTTAGATAACAATGGTTTAGTGATACAAGTATTACTAATAAACTCATAGCTGGGGAGAGAAGAGGTGGTGTTATATACCGTACCTATGAACACTAATGGGTATGTTCCAATTCTCATAAATACGGACATTATTGTAAGTGGGGACAATATGCTGTCTAAGCTAGCAGCGTGAGCTGTCAGCATGGCCTGTCAGTGTGGGAAGATCTTGCTGTGTCGAACTCTCTGCCTTTGGGCAGAGAGGAAACCGGACGAGGCTATGCCGAAGGGCAGTCTCGTCGGGGGAGGTAGACAGATACCCGATCCCTCGTATGCGGGGTTTATAGTCAATTTTTGCCTTGTCACATCCTAGCTCGTCGGGAGGCAGGTAAATATCGTAATATGCTTGTCTACGTAGTCTAATCAACTGTTGAAGTCCTTAATAGTTGACTATTTACCAACTTCACGCCGCTGGCGAGTATTGTATTTTGTTGACGCTATAAAGATTACCATTTCATTTCCAACCGCCATTTTGGTTATCCCTCATTCAGTAACCCTTTCTAGGCTACAACAGATGGATTCATCCTTTTCTCAAAAGTGACTATAAAAAACCCAACTGGAATTGGAACTTTGTTCTCCGATTTAAAATTCCGAGCCATTATCCATTACACCACTCGAACATCCAAGCTTATAACACCTGGTATTCGCAAGCTGTCAGTTCTCTAGGTAGTGACCAGGCTCGAGGTTGCTTAATTTCGGTGATCGTACGGAAACCGGTGTTTCAACGTGATTTGACCGCAAGTATAGAAGAATAGAAAAGAAGGAACAGAGTAAAGAATGAAAATATCTTGAAGAAACACGTACAAAAAAGCGCCTATAAAAATGAACATTTTCTGGAAATATTATTTTCCCATCATGCAGCGAAAAAAGAATGTTTTGGTATTGAAAACTATCGTAACCTAGGAAGGGTTAATGAATGAGAAATAACCGAAACGGAGGTTGGAAATGAAATGATAATCTTTATAACATCAACAAAATACAATACTCACCAGCGTCGTGAAGTAAATAAATAGTCAACTATTAAGGACTTCAACAATCGATTAATAAATTGTTACTAAGCTGATTAATATTCAGACTAATCTTACTTCGTTTGGCTATACAGCATTTGACCCTCCTCTATTCCTTTTAAGTTGTCTTGTTAATTTTGTAACTTATTGTTCTGTGCTGAATAAATATATATTAAGCATTTTTTTCTCTGAGTATCATTCACCTTGACGATATAACAATATTTATGAGGATTGGGACATACCTATTAGTGTTCATAGGTACGGTATATAGCAAAAAGAAAAGAAAAAAGAAATGTCAGTGCAATACTTTTTCAATAGTCGATTTGCAGAATAAGCAATTTCTAAGGCATTCTGATTTTCTCGCAGAGTCTTCAAGATCCGATTTGTGTTTTAATTTTAAACTCCACACGCAAATGAATCCATAGAGCAACAATATTTTTTCTGAAAATTGTCAAAATTAATATCAGTATTTGACAATGGGATGTGCGGGTAGTGTTACGGATATCAGAGCGTAAAGTAAAATCGGGGAGTCGTGTTCAAATTTCAGCCTCATCACCCGATTTCATTTTCGTAAAAATTAATTTGAGGGAGACATTAATCCGTCTCTATGGTTTAAATAGTAGGGTAGACTGATCTCTCTATGGAGGGTTTGAGGATAGTACGCACCGGGTCTGGGGAAGGCCTGGGGAAGGCCAAGCTTGATTCGGGGACCCGGGCAGTGCTCTGTGATCCTGGTTATATTATCGAGATTTGCTTTTTTCTACCTTCATTTATATAAGTTACAAATTAAACTAAGCCCAACTAATTATTATATTTAATTATTAAAATTTTACTAATTTGAGGCTCTCTCTGGATCAGCATTGCCTTACCTCGCCTTGCCTTGCCTCGCCTGTCTAATATCTGCTTCACAACCGAGTAGTGGCGCCTGGCTCAACGCAGTGCCCTCTTCATCTACCGGTACCCTTCTAGATGATGAGTGCACTCGAGTCGGAGTCGGGATCCGTCTTGGACTCAAATTATGTGAGCGTCACAGATGCAGATGTGGATCCTCCATCGATGAGTTTGGTTTGCGTCCTCTCTCCTGTTGTCGTAGTTCCGGCCGCTTTCCACGGCATGCAGCCATTAACGACATCATCAAAAGAGGTTTGGATGCAGCTGGGTTCCCTTCCCAAATCGAACCCGTAGGCCTCGACCGCGGTGATGGAAAGCGGCCGGATGGCATTACCATTTCCCCTTTTAAAATGGGGAAGTCGTTAATTTGGGATCGACCTGTGCGGATACATTTTCGGCCGGTAATTTGATCAGGTCCGCGGTTGAGCCGGGATCCGTCGAAAAAAATAGTTAAATATTCTTCTCTTGTTGATAGATTTTTTTTTATTCCTGTGGCAGTGGAGACTTCTGGGGTTATTGGCCCTCGTTCGATGGCGTTTCTTCGGAGGATTGGCGCGATGGCGTCTCGATTAAGGGATGAGCCTCGCGAAACGGAGTGGCTCTTGCAGCGTGTCTCACTGGCGATAGTTCAAGGTAATGTTTTCTCCATCATTGTGACTGGCAGAGGATAGAAAAAAATTGTTTATAGTTACGTTGTTCTGGAATTGTCATCAGTGGTCAACTGAACTTGTTTTGTTTCAATAGTTTTTTTGTAATAAAATAAATCTGTAAGTAGATAAATTTATTTATTTAAAAAAAAAAAATTATTAATGAGGAAAAATTTTCGCGGATTGTGACGTCATTCTGGAGTCATTTTGTTTTTCGTCCAAATCCATGAATTTCTTTTGCTCATGATAAGTTTCGAAAAGATACTATATAAAATTCACTTTTTTTTTTATTCATAATGTTGAATGTGCTAAAGTTATTCAAGTTTTAACAAGAAAAATCTTAAGTTGATGTTAAAAATTGCCGGAAAACATTGTTGATTTATTTAAGATAGAATGATCTCTTATGTCATGTCTCTAATTTGCATTTAGATACATTGTATTTATTTTCAATTTTTCTAGTTGAATTGTTCAGCTATTTTGCATATGATCCATTATTGCACATAATTAAGTTACAATAAAATTTGTATTTTATATGAATACTACCTTATGAAAATTGAGTGGCGGGGTGCTTGTATAATAGATTCGGGATGGTATGTATCATAAATTTCGGGGTTGATGACGAGAACCAAGCACCAGTCATGGCTACAGGACCTAGCAGTACAAAACCAAGCATCAACCCACAAAAAAATAAAAACACAAAAAAAAACAACATCAATAGGAACAACAGCAACAACAAAAAAGCAAAACAAATATGGCGTCCAGAGAAGACGGTAAAAGGAAAGAAGTTGAAAAATTCTTAGTGCAGCCCATTTCACAAAAGCAATATTGAAACATAGATCTGTTCGATAACTTTTCAGCACCATCTCGAAGATTAGGTTTGTTTTGTAAAGCCTTCAAGATCTTAATAGTTAAGGCAGCTGGCGCGTTCACCGGTATTTACCGAGACAAAAAAGAACAAGAGATCAAATCTCACCGCAAGGTTATAGTTTATTTTCAATCCTGTGCTGTCTCCTCACAGCTGTAAAGTAAACGTTGCGGTAAAAAAACAAGCTTAAAATTAAGTCAAAAGTAAAAAAATTAATTCGTAAAAAATTAACAAACAAAGTTTAGGACAAATTTTACATTTACTAAATCCAGAAAAGAGGAGACTTGTCTACCTACAAGAAAAATATAATAAAAACTAAATAAGTTTATATTTTAGACTTGTTTAATGAAACATGTATATATGTATGCAAATTGTGAACATGGCAGTGGGTTTTAAAATGTCTGATTAGGTAAATATAGTATATGCATACGACTGCTACTTATTTAAAATTTCACATGCATATATATATATATATATATATATATATATATATATATATATATATATATATATATATATATATATATAAAGGGGTCAGTAAAACATTAAAAGATAAAATGCCGATAAGTAATTCATCATTTCTCTTGGACCAACCTTGTTTTTATGACCCTTCGCGCAGAACTCTTCATTGCCAATTCAAAAAAATATATTCGGATTACTAACAGAAAAACAGAAGAATGTCTCATATCGAGAATATTTAACATTGAAAACATAAGGAAAAATTAATTATTTTTTTTAATAATATGTGGAAATCTCCGCTTTTACCTGAAGACGGTCACGAGACCAGAAACACGTGTAGTGAAATTATGGAAAATAAAAGCATATTTCTTTCTAAAAAAAAAAAAAAAAACACATTACAACCAAAAACGTTTGCGGCACCTCTCTTTTCTTTTTAATATACATACTTTTCTCTCGTTGGAACCACTACAACCTCTTTCTTTTATATATATATATATATATATATATATATATATATATATATATATATATATATTGGATGTACACACATATACTTATCTTCATTGAGAAGTGACACAAAGATACATAGGCAAATATATTTGTCCACACTCGTAAGTTGGACACACACATACACACAAGTACTTGTCTACACTAATCAGTTTGACTTGCACGTACACACACTTCTCTATTCTCATCGGTTGGACGCACACAAACGCACATATTCTTGTCTACACTCGTCGTTTGAATGCACGCATACATATACTTATCGACACGCATTAGCCGGACACATGCATACACATATGTTATTACTATATAAAACTCCGTGAACTTTGTATCTTGTGTATTTGCCAGAATTCATATGTAAAGAGTGGGGAAAAGATATTAACAAGTCATATATAGAGAGTTGAGAAAAGAAAGATGTAAATTTATTATTGTGTAGGCAGTGGGGGATGGAGCTGATTTCCTTACGAGAAAGTGTATAAAACACGAAATCCGGCCCGAAATACGCACAGTTGTCATCAAGGTCCACACCATTCTCGCTTGTGGACTTCACGATCTCATGCTAAAAGCGACAGCGCTGACAAACTTCGAAGAGACCGCTTCAGACTACTGCAACATCATCTACAGTAAGAAACAAATTCTATCTCTTGTATTCTCTTTACTATGAACCACGCACACACGTGTTGACTTTTTCACACAAACACACATATAACAACTTTTCATTGTTTCTCACATACGTACACAAAGTGAATTTATTTTATTTCAGAATTTTATTAACTCAAACAAAAAGACATTACTTTCAAATCTATGATCAGTTGCTTGTATTCTTGTTATATTAATTTAATTTGATTTGTTGAAACTACGTTGTTTTTTCTATTGAATTTTATTCTTTCAATCAAAATCGTTTGATTATTCTAAACGCTCGAATTACGCGCAGCCCCGCAACAATATTTCATGTTATTGTATCAAATCCCAACACCCCGAATTTTAACATTTCAAGCTCTTATTTTTCAACTTTCTTCAAACAGACAATTTTTTTAATGCTGAAAACAACTTCAATAACTGCAAATAAATGCATTTTTAAAATATCTCTTCTTTCACAAACCCTTCATGAAACTAAATGTAAACAGTAAATACAACAAGGTTGACCCAACGGGTCACGGGTGGTCTAATACTTGTTTAAAATCATGTTGGATATACAAACGTACACATATACTTGTATACGTTCACCAGTTAGACACACACACCTACTAGTCTACGTTCAACAGATTGACACCTGCACATAGTAAGAATACTCAGTTCCCGCGGGCGAATAAAATTATGGCGCCCCGCTTGAGTAACCTCTGAAATGTTTCACGATTTGTTTTGTGA